ACCACCTCAAAGGTGAGGACCTATGAGCAGAAGTTGGCTCGGTCGCCAAACATGACGGGCAGGTCGATCTGCCCGAGCGGGTACGCCTGAGCCCCTAGGATCACACCGTGGAAGGGAGAGCTCACTGGGCGGAGTTCCGACCAGGGGATACGCATGGCATCGAGGGTGTGGACGTAGAGAATGTTGAGGCCGCTGCCTCTATCCATTAGCACCTTGGTGAGGCGCTTCTTGCGGACGATGGGGTCGATGACGAGCGGGTAGCGACCTAGTCGGGTGACATGGGAAGGATGGTCTCTCCGATAAAAAGTAATCGGGGAGTCCAACCAGCTAAGGAAAGAGGGGATGGCCATCTTAGCGGCACATGCCTCTCTCTAGCGCACCTTGTGCTGGCTCTTGGAGTAGATGACATCAGATCCCCCAAAGATCATGAAGCATTCCTTGAGGTCAGGGAAGCCGTCATCATCCTTGCTTGCCACGCCTCCTTTCTTGGCCGCTGCCTCCTTGCCCTTTCCTTCCTTCGGCCCGCCGACCTATCACAGAAAGCGCTTGGGAGCTCGTAGTCCTTGTAGAGGTGCCTGACGGGGTAGGCGTGGTTGGTATATGGACTCTCCATGAGCTTGTCGAAGTGGTTAGGATGGCCCTGCTAGGGTTGCTTGCCCGCACGATTGGCTATGGCGACCAAAGCGGGGTTGGCTGGTCGGTGCCGATCCTTCTTGTTCTTCTTGCCCCTTTGCATGGAGGGGCCTTCACCTAAAGACCGCCACTGTCCCAGCCGTCGCTAAAGACCGCCCCGACCGCCTCCTCACCGGAGGCGTGGTTCGTGGCGACGTCGAGCAGGTCAAGGGTGGTACGGGGCTTTAGACAGCCAAGCTTGTGGATCAAGGACTCACAAATTGTCCCAGAGAGGAACGCGCTGATGACGTATGTGTCAACGATATTAGGAAGGGAGTTGCACCGCTTTGAGAACCTACAGAGTAATCCCATAGGGACTCATTGGGCTTCTGCTGGTAGCTCTTGAGGTCCCAAGAATTCCCAGGATAGACATATGTCCCCTGGAAATTCCCGACGAAGACCCTCTTGAGATCCGCCCAGTCGTGGATGCTGTCGGGCTAGAGGAATTCGAGCCATGCTCGAACATGCTCTCCCATGCAGATGGGGAGATACTGAATGATGAAGTGGTCATCATTCACTCCTCTAGCTCGGTAGGCGAGCCAAAAATCTTCAAGCCATATATCGGGGTTCGTCTCCCCGGTGTATCTGGCGATGTTGGTGAGTGGTCAGAAGCGATGTGGGAACGATACTCTCTAGATGCGATGACCAAAGGCCTAGGGTGGGTGTCCCCACACTCCTCAATGGTTAGGCTAAGATCTGCGCCGCCTGCTCTCGCCACCACTCGATAGACGTCATAATCGTGCCGGGCATGGCGTCGATTGTTGATGACGCTGCGAACATCATGGTTCGGCCTGAGATGCTCGCGCACAGGTGGTCGGTGTGGAGTGGGCGCCGGGTCGGGCTACGGTGTAGCCGCGGCATCCAGCCCCACTCCTGGCAACTGTAGTGGCGAGTGGATGGAGTGATTCGACTGGTGTGACCCCTGTTCCCCAGTGGGGTAAGAGGCCATGAGCCGATGTCACGACGTGGAGTTCTCCGCCTGTTGAACGGCGGTGGTCTCCACCAGAGCCTAGAGGTTCTGGTGGATTGCTTGCTCTTGGGGGTCGGCCGGCTCGGGGAGGCCGCGCAGAAGCATCGCTGCAGCAGCGATGTTCTGGCCAGCTCGAGCGAACTGAGGGGGGTCATTCCCTCCATCCAGGATATTGCACTGGACCTAATGGGCACGACCCTGGGCGCCGCTCGCCAAGTTACACGCGCGTGGCGTAGTGTGCTGCGTCGAGCGCGCCAGCGCAGGTGACGGCTGGTTTTGCCGCCTTTGTCGTAACTCCTCGCCGTGCTCCTACGCATGAGCGAGGGCTTTCGCACGAGGGTCCAGAGGGTGTGAGTCTGTAGAGACTCCGCTACCAATGGTGGCTGTCCCGGATCATCCACCATAGCACACTCCCGAGATAGAGGGTGGCTAGGTGCCACGACGTCTCCGACGCTGGAGCCATCGCTTTCGATGTCATCATCGATGAGGTCATGGAAGGAGGCGGGAGCGTAGCCCGCCATCCCTACGAACTTGGATATGAGAGGGGGCAGCGTCAGCATCCTTCGGAGCCCCCATGCGTATGCATCTACCGGGGATGCGAAGCCGTAGGGAAACCGGTCGCATGGTGGTCACGGCGAGGACAATGGGGTCCCTCCGGAGAATCGGCGGAAGGTATTAAACAACGTGTAAAGAACAACATGTTCGTTGCTCACCGTGGAGTTTGAGCCCAGAGTGGGCTCGAAGCGAAGAGCAGGTGTCTCGATGTTGAGGTCGTCGGGTGGCCCGAGGCCAACGGAGGGAGTTCCTCCTCCAATAGGCGCCGGGACAAGTGCCTCCTCGCAGAGGTGAAGTACGCCAAGCTGGTCGACGACGAAATCTAGACTTCCAAAAAGGAAGGTCTGGAATGGCTCGAAGACAGAAAGAACCTACATCTCAACAGGTGGGAGCGTGGGAAACTCCAGCAGGCCAAAGCGAATCGTATCGCTTGAGCCCATCATGCTGAAGATGGTGGAAAAGTAGGCCATCCGATGACCAAAAGCGTGAACGCACGGCGTCTTCCCCATGGACGGCGTCAACTGTCGGTGCGAAAAGTGACCAACAAGTAAATATTTGTAGTTTTACCGTGCGTTCTGATCGGATGTGGCCTAGCACTAAATGATACAAGATTTATACTGGTTCAAGCAACGTGCCCTACGTCCAGTTTTAGTCGGTCGGAGACTTTATTCCTGAGCCCAGGTGCTCAAAGTTTGTTGTGGGGTTACAAATGAGTAGGAGTAAGAAGGGGGGTGTTAAAGGTCTGGTCGGACTCTAAACCGAAGGGCTGAGAGTGATGAGGGCTCTAACGTGCGCTAAGTATTGGAGCGTGAACTCTGTGTAGCTTTAGAGTTCTAGAGCTGTGGAGCTGTTCGAATGCTCAGATTGTCTGGAGCCAGCCAAAGAGAGAGCGTCAGTCTCAATGACCGTTTTTTCCTGTTGGGAGAGAGCGCATCCCCTTTTATAGGTGAAGGGGATGGCCTTACAAGTTTAGAGAGAAAGAGAGAAAAATGTATATGTGTTCTTCCTAGTCTTGTTGCCCACGCTATCAGGTACAAGACGGTCGTCGACGCCTACAATACTGTTTATGTCAGACACATGTGGCAGGCTTTACCGTGTTCGTTTGGTATGACAAATGACGGCGCCCACAATACTGTAAGGCCAATGTCTGCGCCCACAACACTGTTTGGGTTCTGACATGCCTGGAAGGTTGCATAGTACCCTTCTGGCATGGCATGGCGGTACTGTCCTGCAGGTGTGCAGGGTACGGTCCTCGGTATTGCGGTTGACTTGAGCGCCTTACCTTATCTGCTCCGCCTGATCCCCGGGCCCTTACCGAGCGGGTGTCCCTGGTCCGTCGTTCCCCGTCGGTTCTGACCGTGTCGGTCGGAGAAGAGTCGCAAGCCGAGGTTCAGCGTATTTCCGGTCGGAAAAGGAGGTCGGAGTCGGACTGTGTCCCCACCTTGGGCAGGCCTTCCGGTCGGAGACCGGATCGTTCTCCCGGCCGATCGTTAGGTAACTGGGTCGGCCCAGGAGACACGCATTGTCGCCACGCCGTCTGCTGGGCCGTGTTTTTGCTGAAAGTGGGCCCATTGGGGACCCCGGGTTTATGAACCCGACACATAGTGATGATTCTTCGAGTCACACCTATGCCTCTTTTTGGTTATAATTCTTTTTTGTCATACTTTTACTAAACGTGCAACCTTAGCTATTGCAACGCTGTAGTTTCTCGTTGCTATATGTACAACCCTATTGCAACGTAAGTGACTATTACATACAACGAAACATATTCGTTGCAACATATACGCACTATCGCAACCATTAGCTAAATAGTTGCAATATCTTATAAGTATTGCAACACCAATAGAACTTTTCACAACGCAACTCAAATCGTGGCAACAATGATCACTTATTGCAATCGTTCTACAATTAGTCACGATAACACTTACTTTTCGCAACGATCTCCATACTTAGGGCTACGAAACAATTTGCGTGCAAATGATTACGATAACACCTCATATTGCAACCAAATCTTGTCGTGCGACAAAAAAGCATGGCATAAGGGCCAAAAATTAGTAGTGACTGCTGTTGTGTGGATCGACGATGAACGTGAGGAGGATCACCTACTTCCTCTGTATCAATGCGCATAATGTTGGACCAGATTGCTCAAACTCTTCTTCCGCTAACGTATGATCTTATCTAGTGCTAAAGATTCTGATCTTCTACTCATTGAAATTCTTTATTAATACATATTGAGACATAATATATATCTTAGTGTAGCAAAAGCTATACATTTAGGAAAACCAAAACATCTTAATACTTTTGAAATGGAGGGAGTACTGGGGTCCTAGCAAAGTAGCAATCAGTCTCCTACCCTACGTACCACGCGCGTAGATGCATTATTAACACATCTAATAGTCATCGAGCTTTTGTGCACATACCACATGCGCAGATAGCACGGGCGCATCAAATGGATATGTCGGTAGTCACCAAACTTTTGTGTAAAAGATATTGTGGGGTTGTGGGCAGCCGATCCTGAGCATACTCGGTCACAGTGGACGCCACCACCCTGACCGCCTCTCGAGGCAGAATAGAAAAAGGCTTCCGCGCGTGATCAGCTCCAGAATCCAAGCAGCTTGTCGTCATCGTCTGGCAGACTGGCCCTCGGGAAAGGTCCCACCTGCCAGTGGCACGGATAACCCGAGAAAAAGTCTCCAACAGTGGTAATCCTCGTGCCGGCCCACTTCGCTTGCTCACTCGATCCGCTCTCCTCTGCTCTCGGTCTCGGTTCTGCTTCGGGTCGTCGCCGGCGGGAGACGGTGCGATGTCGTCGACCGCGGCCCCCGTGGCCTTCATCGGCGCGGACGAGCTCAGCGTCGAGCTCGCCGCCTCCTTCCTCCGCTCCGGCGCCCGCGTCCGCTCGTTCGTCCCCGAGGTCAGTCCCTGCTCGCCCCGATCACCAACCTTCCGCTCTTCCTCCCCCCCTAGTTTCGCGCTGGAACTTCTCCGGTATGATCACGCGCGTGTCTGATTAGTGACTCCTGCGCAGGCGGAACGGTCGCCATCTGCGGCGCTCGCGGAGTTGAATGGCCTCCTCCGGTGCGCGAGCCCAGTGGAAGCCGCGCGAGGTGAGCCTGCGCTCTTGGGCTTCAGTACTGGCTCGATTCTGTCGGTTGTGCCTGATGTGTGCCTATTCCGTTTCAAAAAAAAGATGTCTGCCTATTTGGGTTGGTGGGTGTGGAACTGTGGAGTACGCTGCTATGCTTCCTGCGTGGCTGCGATGCATTTGTTGGAATGCCGAGGTGATCGGGTCATCGGGCTAAGTTGATGGCGTTTATCATTAACTGCAGATGCTGCGCTGGTCGTTGTGCTAAGCGATGCTGGTGGAGTTGACGAGTTGTTCTTCGGAGTTGAGGGTATCGCGAAAGGTACGTCTTGAGTCATTCCGTTGACTGCTTCTGGCCACCTTAACTGTCTACTCCCTTGGCCCTAAATATTTGTCGTTTTCGCTTCTCGAGAAACAACTTTGACTAAATATATATTAAAAATATTAATATTTGGGGTACATAATTAATATTATTGGAAAGGTCCTTGAATCTATTTTTTTAATAAATTTATTTGGAGATACAAATATTGCACGTATTTTCTACAAATCGAGTCAAACTTGTGGCACACACGCCAACGGTGACAATTATTTAGGGACAGAGAGAGTACTCTACAAGGTACTGTATAACTTATATATAAAGTTTGTTTGAGCATTTTAGGATTATGCGGGTTCGATTGTATTGATTTGTTCGACATTGCTGCCTAGCCAGTTGGAGAAGCTGGAGCAGAAGCTTACAGGTAAAATACTTTGCATGCCATGTCATTCGCTTCCAAGCCTGCAAGGGCTACTGTGCCAAGAGCCCAAGAGCTCTTGGTGCATTCCCTTTTATGTTTTAGATATAGCAAATCTGCACACTTAAACCGTCAAATTTTGACGTTTAATTGTTTGAGTTTAAACGTGACTTGATTTTTCATGTGATATATTTGATGATTTGAATGCTACCACTTATATACCCATTGAGATCCACATGGTCACATGGAGGATCTTAGCTTAGTAGTACTTAGCTAACTTAATTCACCGTACAGGTGAGAAGAAGGATGTCTTCCTTCTGGATGGATACATTTTCAGTGGTTTATCTGATGAACTAAAGCAACATATTATTGTAAGCAGTACATCATAATGGGAATCTGAATACCATGCATCTTCATTTTCCCTTTCTCTTATCACTACTTACTTTGTATATGCCAGATTGTTGCATCTGGGAGACAGGACATAGCAGAAAGAGCTAGAAAGTTTTTCCATAGTAAGTCAAAAGATGTGTAAATTTCTTTGCCAATATTTCCATCTTCTTTTATATCTTATGATGTGCTAAGGTGCAATAATGTTGAAATTCTAATTTACCTGGTGATATTTTCAGGTTATACAATATCGTTTACTTTGCTGAAGGTGAATTTTGCACTAGCAGGTTGCTCACCCTTTCTGACAATAGTAAATAGTGTTCTATTTCAAGAATACGCAAGAATAATTACATATCATATCATTATAGCAGGACAAACAGTCCAATACTACCCTATAGCCATGCTATGGAAGTTGGAACATCAACAGTAAAAATAGTATCCATACCAATTACTGCAACTATTATACGGCAGTTTAAAATCTATATGTGTGTTTTATGTCTGCAGCAAACTTAGGGTGGTGAATGATTTGCTGGAGGGCATTCATTTTGTTGCCTCTATGGAAGCAATGTATCTTGGTGTTCGAGCTGGGATTCATCCATCAATTATCTATGACATAATATCGAATGCTGCTGGGAGCTCAAGGTTATGGGAGTTTCTTTATTCTTTTGTGTTCTCTAAACAAATAATACCTGACATTCTGTTCAATAAAACTTTACTACACTGATTACAGGATATTTGTGTAGTTAGTTCCAAAACTTCTGAGTGAGGATCCTTTGCTTATTGATTTTCTAAACTCAGCAAGGAAAAATGCAGTGAGTTCCTATTCCCTTTTCTGATGAGAGTTGTAAGGGTTCCATTCTTACTTTCCACATTCTTGGGTCCTCTTAATTCTTTATATTTGCCATCCTGGTAGTGCTAGCAGGAAAGAATTATCTCTATTGCATCGCTAAATGCTTCTCTTTCTGAATCTCTAATAGTTTCACTTTTACAAATCATAGAGCCATGTGATGGATATGGCAAAATCAGTAACATTTCCGCTGCCACTTCTGGGTGTTGCCTATCAACAATTGATACATGCTATGTCTAAAGCTTCTTTACATGTTGACCTAGCCAGTGGCAAACACTGACCTGATATCATTAATGTTTGGAATCAAAGGCTTCAGATAATCCATCCACGTTTATTATCTGTCTTAGGATATCTAGAAAATTGGATCCTTTGCATGCTTGCTTATGTGTTTTTGGTTCATCCACTCTTCTTTGTACGTATTTGCAGGTTCTTCAGCAGTAACTGCAGATGGATCTGCCTCACCACTGAAGGTGTGGAATAGCTGTTTGCATTTAAAACCTGCTAACAGGTGCTCTTTTTTCAAATCTGTCTTAGAATTTGGAATTTCGCATTTCAGGTTTGGGAAGCATCATTTGGAGTAAATATTGTAGATGCTGCCAGTCAACAAATCTATGATGCAAGCACATTAGCTGATCAGCTTGTTATGGAATCTAAAGCAGCAAACCGGATTGGCTTCATTGGTCTTGGAGCTATGGGCTTTGGAATGGCATCCCATTTGCTGAAATCAGGGTTCTGTGTTGTTGCTTATGATGTGAGAACTCTTCTGACTTTCTTATCCTTCCCAACTCCATAATTTGCCCAATGTATTGTTGCAGTAAGGTAAAAGAACTGTACACCGCCTTTTCCTTTCCGATTGCACATGCGTTTCTTTAACATTTTTTCGCATCCCAGAACTCTGACCAATCTCTTGATGTTTGCTGGATTCAGTCGCAGATTATAGTCTGTTGACTGTTACCCATGTTATAAGTAACAATGAATGCATTAGATTTAATCCCAAAGCAATAGAAAGACCAATATCTTGACCTTTTCATCAGTTTTTTTTTGTAGTAACTTTCTATAAATTTGTCTATGATCCTAGGGCTATGTCATAGGACATCCTGCTCTCCTTTTCTTTTTCTATTCTTCTTTGTTTTTGTGTATGTGTATACATGCCCTCAACGAATATCTTTTCTCCATTTCTGATTTAGGTCTACAAGCCAACAATGGCCAGGTTTGCTGATTTAGGTGGATCAACAAAAGGTTCTCCTGAGGAAGTAGCAAAAGGTGACTTACGAAGTCTTTCCATACTGTCTACATTATGCATCCAATAAATTTTTCTGGATAATAGCTTCATAAGTTATTGGCTGGACATAGTAGCTATGACCTGTTCGGCTGTTCTCATGTAAAAATGTAATACTGTATTATTTAATCTTGCAGGATAGATCAGCTGTACCTATTTTTTGTTTTTACTGATCCATTTAACCGTGTAATTTCATTTCATTAGGAGTATTCATGTACAAGGTAAGATCACAGATGTAAATGAGTGTTAGTACTGCTCCTTTCCGTTCAACTAGAAGAATGTTATAGTTGTTACCTTGCACAGAGATTGAGCTAATTAGTTATTATTTGTTAGTGGCACCATTGATGATGTATTAACCATGCAAGCTCATTGCAGATGTGGAAATACTTATTATCATGGTTGCAAATGAGTCTCAAGCTGATAGTGTTCTTTTTGGAAATGCTGGTGCTGTACCAGGTAATCTGTACAAGCGTACCCCTTATGTTCTGACTTTGCAAAATAAATTCTTCTACCAAGTTGGTTTACTGCTGATGAGATTTAATTCTAGTGATGCCAATGTCCTTTTTCAGTGTTATCTGCTGGAACATCTGTCATCCTTTCTTCTACAGTTTCTCCTGGATTTGTGATCCACCTCAACAGAAGATTAGAAGGTAACAGCTCTTAGCATATTTTAATTTCCAAAATAAGGTTCTAGATTGTCCAAATTGTTTGCAAGGTTCATTTATTTATCTTGATGATTTTATCTTCTAGGCACACCAATGTTTATTTATTCTGCTTGATATTAAAGAAACAAATGTTTACATTTTGTTTGGAGAAGAATTGTAGTAATTTGGTATTCTTTTTTTATCGAAAGACTGTTATAGTCATGGAAGCCACAACTTGTAGAAGTGTTGACGCTGCTGCGAACTGTTTCTGTGATTAGCATGTTGTGTTCTTTCTGCGATAAAATAGTTAGTATCATTGACTATGGTTCCATACAGCTGAATGCCGACAGATAAAGTTGGTTGATGCTCCAGTATCTGGTGGTGTCAAAAGGGCGGCAGATGGGACACTAACTGTATGATTACTTACTAATACATCAATTAGATATGGACATGATGTTGCAACCCTAGTTGAAATAACTCTGTGCATTATCCTAACAGATAATGGCTTCAGGGACAGATGAAGCTCTGCATTGCACTGGTTCTGTTCTGTCAGGTAATAAAGATGACTATCTGAACACCATCATATTTTAGTTTCAAGACAAACATCCAGAGATTGTCCAGTGGCTTATTAGTCTTACATAACAGCGCTGAATGAAAAGTTGTATGTAATCAAAGGAGGATGTGGAGCTGCAAGGTGATATATACATCTTAATGTCTTATAGTTATTTACTTTGATTCTTCTTACCTTGCAGTCTTCTATCATCATTGGGCGGCTGTACATGATATACATTTAAAATGAATGGTTACATGTTAGCATAAATGTGTATCTATTTCTCATTCTTTCCAGTTCTGTTAAGATGGTCAACCAACTTCTTGCTGGGGTTCATATAGCCTCAGCAGCTGAAGCCATGTCATTTGCTGCTCGACTAAATTTGAGAACGAGAAGAGTCTTCGAAATTATGCAACATGCAAGAGGTTATTCATGGTATATTTGTTTGATTGCCCTTGCTCACTTTAATCACGTCACTTCTCAATCATTTGGTATCTAAACTTAGATTGCTTTTCATGTTGGTTGACTAGCAAACTGATAATGAAAGAAATGCACACATGCAATTCAACTAATGTTGCTAACTGCTAGTTCCTTTAGATTCCATACTTTAATGATCTTCTATAAATCTTTATGCGACGCTTGTATGCTTTACAATGTGTTAAGGTGGCAATGTGATTGCTTAATCAGTATCCATCGTGCAAGATGTTTGGAAATCGTGTGCCACACATGCTCGATAATGATTATACACCTTATTCTGCAGTGGATATATTTGTCAAGGATCTGGTATGGATAAATGACCTTTTATTTGCTGATGTTGTTAGCCACCATCAATATATTATAATGCTTGCATCTTGTCTTTTCCAGGGTATAGTATCTTCTGAAAGTTCCAATTCGAGGATCCCAGTGCACGTCTCTACTATTGCCCACCAGCTGTTTATTTCAGGTTGTTTTTTCTGTAAGAAAACGAAAAAACTCATTTCATTCTATTCCAAATGGTGATCAATTCAATGTTATATTCTTGCTTTTACATGAAAAATGTCCTGAGTAATGGTGTCGCGCAGTATTCTAAAAAACTAACCATCAAGCAATATGTCGTCTTTGGAAATAAGGTTATAAATGTGGTGCTACTATTTAGTTTTGGTGATGCATTTGTAACAGGATCTGCTTCTGGGTGGGGTAGATATGACGATGCTGCCGTTGTGAAGGTGAATATTTTCTTTTTATGATCATGCTGAAATATGAAAACCCTCATTTGATTACTCATTTGGTCTTTCATAATTTACTGTGTAAATTTTAGATTCGTCTGATGAGGATTGTGATTGCAGGTCTATGAGACATTAACTGGTGTAAAAGTTGAAGGGAAGGCGCCCATGCTCAGTAAAGAAGATGTCCTTCGTTCTCTTCCTGCTGAATGGACAGAAGATCCAATTGATAATCTTGTACCTATTGCAACTCAAAGTAGCAAAAAGATTCTTGTAGTTTTAGATGATGATCCAACTGGGACTCAAACAGTTCATGATATAGAAGTTTTAACTGAATGGTAAAGTCAGAATTTAATGTTTTCTTTAATCCATATACATGTTCCAATTCCAAAAATTAATATATGAGCTTCATTCATAAATACTTGGTTTTTTAAGATTAGCGTGCGATTTAAAACTGCAGGCCTGTTGAAGCCCTTGTCGAACAGTTTCTCAAGCTACCAACTTGCTTTTTTATTTTGACAAACTCTCGTTCCATGACTGCTGATAAGGTAAGGGAATGAAGTTCTAAGCAGTTGAGTAGTTATATTTGGAGCCCCTTTACATATCTATTTAAAGGAATGAAGTTCTAAGAAGTTGAGTAGTTATATTTGGAGCCCCTTTAAATATATATTTAACATTTTTCACTTAAATATGTATTTAACTGTTTTCACTATAACAGGCCATGCTGCTAGTACAAACTGTCTGCAGAAATCTTGAAGCTGCAGCAAAGAAGGTCCCTGGTGTTAGTTATACAGTAGTCTTGAGAGGTGATTCAACTCTACGTGGTCATTTCCCAGAGGTTAATATCTAAAGTCACTGATGTTTTGAGTTTTCTTCTCTTTCATTTTCCGTGGTCATCTTGTGTTCTTCTGCTTTCAGGAAGCTGACGCTGCTGTCTCAGTATTAGGTGAGATGGATGCTTGGATAATCTGTCCATTTTTTCTTCAAGGTGGGAGATACACTATTAATGACGTCCACTACGTCGCAGACTCTGATAGGTAATCTATTCAAGATATTTAAATAAATGATATCACAAAAGGTTGATGGTCCAGATATTATCTACAGATTAATTCCTGCTGGTGAAACCGAATTTGCCAAGGATGCAGCTTTTGGCTATAAATCTTCCAATCTAAGACAGGTATGTTTCTGGAGGAATTATTTTGGTAAAATGAAGAGCAAGACCTAAGAAATTTGCTTTGTACTTGAATGTGTAGTGGGTTGAAGAGAAGACAAGAGGACGGGTTTCGGAGAACCAAGTTTCAACAATTTCCATAACTCTCTTGCGTAAACAAGGACCAACTGCTGTCTGTGAGCATCTCTGTAGCTTGGAGAAGGTATTTCATAAAATGATACTTCATGTGGAAGTTAATTTGCTATTGACTTAAAACAATCAGAAGACAGTCGTCTAAATTTAGCGAGCCCTTTGTATTATGCATTGTGAATGCACCTGTCATGGTTAGTATCAAACCATGACAAATGGGCTGGCCTTGAGATGATTTCACCTAATGCTGACATTGGGAGTTTCTCTAGCTGGTGGAGTCGATCTCTCAAGGAAGTAGATAAACTGCTGGAGAAAGGGATTAATTCATTGACTCTTCTTGTTCTACCTTCTGTTCTTGGTTCACTTTGAAATTTTCTGACAAGGAATTTGTGTGTTTGTAGGGCTCTGTGTGCATCGTAAATGCTGCTAGTGACAGGGACATGGCCGTCTTTGCTTCTGGAATGATCCAGGTACAATTTTCTCATAGTATCAAGTTCTTGTCAAGTAATATATGATAATATGTTTTATTCTGTCACCAGTGCTCTATTTTGATATGCCATTGTTCTTTTCCTATTCTTAATTTGGCAGGCTGAATTGAAAGGAAAGCGGTTTCTCTGCCGCACAGCTGCAAGTTTTGTGAGCGCAAGGATTGGGATCAAGCCAAAGCCACCTATCTGTCCAAATGACCTTGGCTTAAAAAGAGCTTTAACTGGAGGCCTCATAATTGTTGGTTCGTATGTGCCAAAAACTACAAAGCAGGTCAGACTTCTAGCGATTTAAGTTTCTCTTTTTTTTTCTTTTCAGATTGTATCTTCTCTGTTAAGGGTATTAGTGTAATCTCCCTAGTCTAGGGTTTCTCTCCTGTGTCCCCATGTATTCTATATATAGTCCCCCTATTAGGCCTCAATATGATATCCAGTTCTCCCTTTATTCGTAACATCCAATTCGTCTGACCCTTGTGTGTCCACAAATTTATTGTCAAATCAGCCTTTTTTTTTAATTTTGTTTCATGGTTAGCTCAGTCCCAATTTAGCTAATCAATATCATCATTGATGCGACTATGCCCTCTTGGTCTCTTTCATAGCCATTTTGCTACACTTCATGACTATGTTTTCAAATCGTCTAATCGATCCTAGTTGCCATGGCAACGATCAGCCCGACTAATCGCGACTAATCGTGACTAAACGTAGTGCATAGCTGATCGCCATGGCACCGATCAGCCCGACTAATCGCGACTAATCGCGATTAGTCGGACGACTTGATAACCTTGCTTCATGAGCAATGGCCTTCTATTTGTCGTCATCATCATCATTCTATCCTACTACGTGCCGTCTTGCAGCAGTAATCTCTCTGTGCTTCCTTTGGCTTCATTTGACATATCTCTATATTCTCGTCGAGTTCAAAGTCTCCAAAGCAAGGTTCATCTTTGAAGAGTTGATGTACTGTGTTGTGAAGACTTGAGGTATTTGCCGAAGTACGTGTTGTGAAGGCAGTACCCTCTTGTGGAGGAGATCATTTCTACATCGACATTGTTCAAGAGTTGCACGCTTCGACGACATCTTCTATTTTGGATTTTGGATGTAATTCGTCATTTTTTCAAAAGTCTAGTGCATAGTGTCAACTCTCCAAATGCAACGACATTGCATTCACGTTGCATTTGACAGGGGGTGTTAAGGGTATTAGTGTAATCTCCCTAGTCTAGGGTTTCTCTCCTGTGTCCCCATGTATTCTATATATAGTCCACCTATTAGGCCTCAATATGATACCCTTAACATTCTCGTGTATATTACTATATTTGCATTTATTAGGTTGATGAGTTGCGATCACAGTGCGGGCAATCTCTTCGAGTAATAGAGGTAAGTTATATTTGTTGTCATGCCTAAACATGAAACTATTGCATCTCCCTGGATAAGATCTAAGTAGTTTATTTACATTTTCTGTTTTGAATTTGGACTACCTATGTTGAGATCTTTTCTATCCAATGTGGTCTCTTGCTTCTTTGTTAAGTGTCTGTCGAGATGGTTTCAATGAAATCAATGGAGGACAGAGACCAAGAAATCAGCCGAATTGTTGAACTAGGGAATGCTTATATACAATCCAGAAAAGACACTCTAGTTCTCACCAGCCGCCAACTCATTACTGGAAAAAGTTAGCATCTTTTCAATTATTCTGCATCCAGTTATATTTTCTGTTTATTAGCATAATAGTGATGAGCTGAGACAATTTTGATATAATTATCTATTGCACTATTATAGTATGATATCATGCTTTGTTGGCACATCTGGGGAGATGCTTTTACCCATGTTTAAGTATGAATGGAAACACTATAGGAATGCGAACCAAAATTTGTCATGGATAAGCTGAAAAAGTGCTGATTATGTCCAAGTCAACAACACTTCTTGAGACATGGAATTCTGTACAATTTTTTATTCGTTTGGGAGTTGTGAATTTACATCCAAATCATCTAAAAGAACATCTCTAGCATGCATAATAGCCTTATGTAACGTCTGGAGATTATCCAAATCAACTCTCTAGAATTCTGTTTTGGAGTCTTATCCCACCATGTCTAAACTCTAAAACCAGGGACATGACCATCCCATCCTACCATGTCCTAAAACCAAGCGCATGCTAAGTTTTTCAAAATATGACTTATAACTACTGATGTTTTCTCATTGAGCTGGTAAACATTAGCAGCACACTACTTGGAAACTGATATAACTCTATTTTCTTTTTAGGCAAAATCAAAGTAATGTTTTTTCTTTCTTTGATGTTTGTCCTAAGTAGTTTGACCTCCTAAGATCTAAGAAGAATGTACCTAATATGTTGCAGCTCCTGAAGAAAGCTTAGAAATTAATTATAAAGTGAGTTCAGCACTAGTGGAGATTGTGAGAAGGATTGATAGTAAACCTCATTACATCATTGCAAAGGTAACAGTTTCACAGTTTTTTCCCTTTTAACTATATTGACTTGTTAGTTGCACTCAAGTTCATCATATTGCACTTCATATGCATATAGATAATTTATTACAGCTTTTCAAGAATTGGCCATTTCTGGAATGATTGCTGTTAAACCAAATTATTGGTTCTGTTTTCTTTTTTACGTTTTGGTGCAATTTTGAGATAGAATTATACCTACATGTTTCCTTCAACGAAAAAACAATGTATGCAAGTGCTGCTGTGCTAGTTGAGAAAAAAGAATGAGCCCACATGTTGTGAACGAAATTGACTTCTGAAATTAATTTTAATGTGACTCACACAGGGAGGAATCACTTCATCTGATATTGCTACAAAAGCTTTGGAAGCTAAACGTGCCAAAGTCATGGGACAAGCATTAGCTGGTGTACCATTGTGGCAGCTTGGTCCTGAGAGTAGATTTCCTGGGGTCCCTTACATTGTTTTTCCTGGTATTAAACATTTTAGTTATTCCACACTAACACAGAAATAATTGAACCTTTTGACTCAAGGTAACATCGTGCCCCTCAAACAGGTAATGTTGGTGATAACAGTGCTCTTGCTAAAGTGGTGAAAAGTTGGGCTTCCCCATCTAGAAGTTCTACAAAAGAACTTCTTGTAAGATTCTCGACATTTTAAGGTCTTGTCAAGGTTAATTTCTGGACCACTTATCGGATTTAAATTTTCCTAACTATTTTCTTGTTGTAAAGAATGCGGAGAAGGGCGGTTATGCTGTTGGTGCTTTCAATGTGTATAACCTTGAGGGAATTGAAGCTGTTGTTGCAGCAGCAGAGACTGAAAAGAGTCCTGCTATCCTGCAGGTTAGGAACTTCAATATGCTTATTTTCCTGAAATCACATAATGCAGAAAACATAATTAAACTCGTTAGGTTCTCATGCCTTTTATTTTCTTTCCTGCAATATTCATGTGGGGGCTTGGGGGGTTCATAATTGTTAGATGAATAAATGTAGCTTATTTGTGAGTAGCGAGTCTATGTTCATTGTAGTGTTCTGGTGATGTTCCTTGTAGTTCGGTGCTCTGTACTCTTTCTCTTCTTAATGAAATGAAGCTCCTGCTATCCTGCAGGTTCTTTGAAAGCAGTACCACGTAGCTCTTGATTATGAAAATATAGTATATAGCATTGTTAATGAATATATGAAAATTTAGTATATCACATATACTATCTCGAGTCTTTATCTTAATTGCTGTGGTTGCTGTTTAGATTCATTCCAGTGCTCTGAAGCAAGGTGGAGTCCCATTGGTAGCATGTTGCATTGCTGCTGCAGAACAATCCACTGTAAGAGAAACTTGAGAATCTACCGTTTTCAAAGAGAGCAAATTCAACTGTCTGTGCTCCTAAATAAACCACATGTTTAACAATTATCTGAATAAATTGAAAACTCTAGTGTTCACATTCTGTGATTCTCTTATCACAGGTGCCTATCAGTGTTCACTATGATCACGGCATTTCCAAGTCAGACTTGCTTCAAGCTCTTGAAGTGGTATGTGAAGATCCGTGGTTTCCTCAAATCTGCATTACCAAAGATGACATGCAAGTTTATTTCATAACCATTAATCTTGAGTTTTTTTCCTGGTCAATGTCGTGACCCTTGAATTTCCAGGGATTTGATTCAGTCATGGTGGATGGTTCCCATCTAACTTTAGGGGAGAACATCTTATACACAAAGAGCATATCTTCCTTGGCTCATGCAAAAGGTTTACTTGTGGAAGCTGAGTTGGGTAGGCTCTCAGGCTCTGAAGATGGCCTGACCGTTGAAGAATATGAAGCAAGATTTACTGATGTTGCCCAGGTGCGATTCTTCTTCTACAACAATGTTAACTGAGTGGCCTTCTACTGTGATATTTTTGCCTATTTCTAAGGATTTCTGTGCCTTCATGGTACATATTTACAGGCTGAGGGATTTATTGATGAGACAAGCATTGATGCTCTAGCAGTTTGCATTGGAAATGTTCATGGAAAATATCCACCTAGTGGACCAAACCTCAGATTTGACTTGCTAAAGGTCAGAGAAATTCAATTACACTTGCCTCTGGAACGTATCATGAAAAGTTCTTTGAGAGAAATTTGCATTGTTCTGTTGCCTTTTTTTTTTTGAAGTTTATATGTTGCCTGCTTTTAATTGAGTAATCCTTACAGAATCAGCATGTTTTTAATTGACTGACGACAGGACCTTCGTGCATTGACCTTAAAGAAAGGAGTTAGCTTGGTTCTCCATGGAGCATCTGGTCTACCTCATGAGCTCATAAAGGTTGGTTAGGTTCTTTCAGTTTTTTTATTTATTAGATTAGTATAAGGCTGTAGTTTGTAGCTATGTTGCAGTGTTTCCTGCACCAACTCAGCCCAAATGGTTAAGCTATTGAGTAAAGGAAGGCAATCCATCCCCCTACCATTTTCTAGACTCTCTGCTAAGCTAGTTCATGCAAATGCTCAACGTGGTATTGGAGCCTAGGGTTGTTTTTTGAAGACTTGTTTAAGCCATTTTTTTACGATTGAAATAACGACATTACCTAAACACTGATTTTTTTTTTCCTGCTGCAAACCTGCAGACAGGTCATGAGTGGTAGATTTTAAGTCTAGTACAGTGTTGAGGTCAGTAAATTTTCCATTGTTCCTGGATAAAATATACTACAGACCAATTCGTGATTCAGTACAGAATCTTTTGCTATTGGTGAGCCCATATCTCAAGTATTATTAGGATAAAACTTATTGTGCAAGCGCAATAACAATGCATTAATTTCTGGAGCAGGAGTGCATAGACTTGGGCGTGAGAAAATTCAATGTGAACACCGAGGTTCGGAATAGCTACCTGGAGTCCCTTAGAAAGCCAGAAAAGGACCTGATTCAGGTCATGGCGTCTGCTAAAGAAGCAATGAAAGCTGTGGTAGCAGAGAAGCTGCGCCTCTTTGGATCTTCTGGGAAAGCCTGAGCGAAGTACTTGCGCCGGCAACATGCAGTACGGGGGGCATGGCCGCGTCATTGGATTCGTGATGATGATGATGCTACTCTGCAGTTGCTTACAGATACAGCTCATTGCGGTATACATAAACCGGAGAGCTCATTACAAATTGTTGGCTGAACAACAGAAGTGCTTATTGTATTTTGCAATGTGGCGCAACTAAGGTTAATTCGTAAGTCGTAATAATGTATGCTTACCCCGCTGTAAAATGCTCCATCGTTAATAAATGCCACCGTGTTCGCTGTGCCTTTCTTTACTCTTTTATTGGCACCTTTCTTATTCGTCTCTCGAGTATTCTAGTTGCATGCTTCAGATCTCACAAAGCAACAATGGACACAGATTCCAATCCACAAAACCTCAAATCATATCACTGGGAAGGAACTCGGGAGTTCGTGTATTTCATTTCCTTTGCATTTCATGCTATAGTGTAGGGTATATACACGTATTGACGCCTAACCTCTGCCTGGATGGACCCTCGCCACAATCCTCCACAGAGTTCATCCTGCCTGTTGTGAACAAAAACGGCATACAAGAGGCATAGATGGATCGATCGTTCTAAAAGAAACAAACGAGAGAAAAAAAAAAAGGAAAACCAAAGTGTCTTCCCTGTCGCGCTTGGAATGGCCTGGATGCATTGGAGGCGTTACGGTGACCATTGGTCAGGGAGAGCCAAGAAGTACTTCGACATGGCCTTCCTGAACCTCTTCTTGTACTGATCCGGAGATATGATGGTCGGTAGAACATCCTTGGAGCCACCTAGAAATCCTGTCGCCTTCACCCAAGTCTCTAGTTGTTTGTCCCAAGTGTATTGCCGAAGATAGTCGATAATCCCCATCACAAGCTCTTTTCTTTCTTCATCAATGCCGACTAGGAGAGAGTAGTCCATCACATCCACCGACTGAGGAAAAGGGGAATGCATGGCAGCAAGAGTTAGATAGTGACAACAACCGCATCTTCATGCACCTTGGTATTCTAAATGAATATGCTAAAAAGTCTGTTGATCTGACCAGTTTACTCAAATAGTCACCATCTATATAAGCTGAACCATACTGACAAGATAGGTTAGATACAAGTTGTCAATTAGAATGGCAACAACAAAAAGAGCCGGGAATCAAATCACCATATCCAAGTAGCCGGCATGAATAAGACCTATCTGAACCATCGACAGTAGTCATGTGGACTAACCACTAACTCTTGCTACACTGGCACCAAAATCACTCATCTGGCAACAGTGTATTTTTCAAAAACCAGTGCATTCAAAGCTACCTCAACCCAGCAACCCCACAGCTTGTTGTCTGCCCAGCCTGCCCCACACCCATCCTAGCTACCAATTACAGTTCATAAATTGCCACTGTAAAGATGAAAAATAGACAACATTTGCCACTATTTATATATTAATTATGCACTTTTCATGCTGACCTTGCCCATCTTTTGATTTCTTTGCATTTCCTTATCCTGAAACTCCTCTCTGCTAGCTGCCATGCTACACCCTGGCTAGAGACTACTTTCTGCTATCTCTCCCTCCATACCACTCTCTGACCCCTACACTTGTGCAACCTTTACTTCTACACGTGTGCAAACTTACCTCAATTGGCCGTCAGGCTTGTGCCTCCAAAAAAAATGGATAGATCCTCCCCCTCTTACTCACTTTTGTAGTGCTACTTCTACATCTCTCCGCGATGTCACGGAAGAACTGAACAAAGGTTTGCCTCCAAAATGAAAGATTGTGGCTTCTACATGTTTTCACAACTGAATTTCAGATGTGTGGCAAAAGCTGTCTATTTCTATCTTTGTAGAAGCAAATATGAATCACAACAGAATCAATAGGCAAAGCCTCAAGTAGCATGTCTAATATTGGGCATTCAATATTTCCCATATCAATTGGCTGCTTAGGATTTCTTGGAATCTTGAAAATGGTGGGGGAAGGTAGGTGGGCTTTTCTAATGTGTGCGATTGTCCGAAATTCAGATGTCTGGGCACATATTATAGGTCATAGTACACCAAAAGAAGGAAATTTTTTTGTTGGGATCACTGGGTCTGGTCTGTTACTGAGTGAGGAGGGAGAAAGGGAGGGGGAGCTGAAACACATCACTCAGGATGGAGAAAAATATGTGCAGATCAGGCTAATCAGAACAGGGAACCCAGCAATGGTGCACATCACCAGGGTCAAGGTTAAGGTTCATACTGAAATCCAATGTACCGCCAGATGTCCAGGGTAGATACTGGCATACTTTTCATGTCACGTGACATAAAAAGATTACTACTTCATAGTACCAATCATGATGAAGTGGAAATGAGTGCAAGAAACAGTTTTTTTGGTAGTGACACCTCATATATAGACAAGGTCAGATGAGGCGACGATGTAAAATTAGCTATGCAACCAAGGTCACAGTCCAGATAGAAATACTAGGTTGCTGCATCCAGGGAGTATGGTATATATAACCTTCACCAATGAAATAAGATCTCACAGCAAGTGAGTCTACTTACTGCCAGAAAAGAAGTATCATTCCAGACAGCTCGTTCCAGCCTTCTTTTTGCTTTGCTTCCAAGAAAAATGGGCTTTGTGTGAAGTGTCTCTAACAGATTAAGATCCAAGAGAACCTTGTTGTTCCCTGAAGTATCAGGGTTGTAGCGCGAACGCAAAGAGCCCTTTAGGTCATATATTCTTGATACCTTCCTCTTGAAAAATAGGTTTTCCATGACCATTACATCCATCTTCAGCTCCTTTCCATCTCTCAAATTCTTGGCAGTGATCTAGTGCATAAATGCACAGCTATGTTCATTATGTAATCTCACAGGATTTGATAAACACAAGAAGTAACAAAGTAGTAGTAACACGAACCTGGTAAAGACCAAGGACTTTAGTGAGGCAAGTTGGGCTCCCAGATGATACAGAGTCTGTCAAATATTTGAAGTAATCAACAGCATAATCCTCAAATGAATCTAATTCTGTCCGGGTCACTTGCTTTATCACAAATCTGTCATCCAGTGTTTTGGCAAAGTAGACATTACTCTTGCCACCTTGAGCACTCCATCTCTTGCAGCGACTTAAGGAGCGGATATAGTCTAGCTCATCTGAACAGCACTTTCTCCTGATTGCATCAAACTGCTTTGCAAAATAACATGTCACAGAAAATTTTGCTTTATCAACAGAATATGAGTCTTCATCCTCAAAAGAAACAGTCAAATGGTTATCCTTAGAGTCATTTCCAGTTATAGGTTGAGGCTGATCAGAACCATAATTCAATAAACTAGATTCATTATTCTGATCTAGAAGTGGCAACAAGAAGCTGCGATATTCTGGAACAGTCATGGCATGGGCTATCACGCTAGATGGTTCATCATCATAAATTGGAACAATAACATCTGAATCATTTTGTGACAGTAGCAACCGACTCTCGCCATCAATCATACCAGGAAGTGACAGCTTGTTCAAGAATGTTGGTGACAGACCCTTACCAGTTCTCTCAATAGCCTTTGGGGGCCTTTGAGAATAAGATCTTCTTATACTAGCATTTGAATCATCAACATTTCTGGAACTGACAGCAGAATCGAACGATTTGATTCTGATTGGTGCTATAACCTTCTGGTATGCAGGATCATCCTTCAGACTAGCAGGTATGAATGAAACTGCCTCCATGCTACTTGATGAATCGTTAACAAACTGACCAGAACCAGTCCATGCTAAGTCAATTCTGTCAGAAAGATTGGAGGCAGAAGATTGTGATTTCTGCAAAGTCTTTCCAGCTTCTAGTTCAGCCAGCACTCCTTCACTCTGCATTTCACATGGGCCTGGGGCAAAGCTGATAACAGTTGAGCCAGAATGCATGGATACATCACCCATAATGTTGGTTTCCAATCCCAAATGTGAAACACTAGTGTTGGTTTGTTCTGTCATAGGGGATGATTTCACTGAAACTGCAGCCACTTCCAACGTACTTGGTTCATTCTGTTCTAGAGAATTCTCAACATTCAAATGTTTACTAGATGTCACATCCTTTGATTGTTCTAATAAGCTTTCAGTAAGCTTCTCAGAACATTGTGCATCATTTGGCACAGTACAACAGTTTTCTTTCGTGAGGGAGTGCATCATGTACAGTCTCCGATCCCATACGTGAATATCAAGTACAAGCTCTCTCCTCAGGCGATTGAGCTCTAGAACATCTATATATGGTTCAAATGTCAGCAAGTCATCTATGATAGAAAACCCTGATACAACCTGAAAAAGTAAAGAGCAATGTTCTGGTCTTTAACTATCTTTTCGATAGCAATCTACAAGACAAATAGAAAACTTTATACAGTTCAACAGAAATCTATAAAACAAGTAGCATTTGAACTTACGTCATACTTCTTCCACTCAACTTTAACCAACTCCTTAAGATCGGCAACATGTTTATGCAAGCCTGACTTCATACCAATGTTCTGGTCTTTAACTATCTTTTCAATGCAGTCAAGTTTAACAACAATTTCCCTATATAGATGTTCCTTCCTAGCGCATACCTGCAAGTTAAGTCATAAAAGCTTACCAAGGGCAATACATCTCCCAAAATGATGCCAATGGGTTGGCTTTTAGAACCAATTTAGACAAGTTTAGATAAAACTAACACAAACATACATCAACAGCTTCTTTGATGACCCAATCTTGAGCTTTTGGATAAGCAAAGTCCAGTACTGAGGATGGCAAGTTGACAGAAAGAATGTCTACTGGTGAATAACGGAAGACAGCAACCATGCTCCCAAGCCTGTTTGATTGAGAATGTGAACTGTTATGTTGGTCATTATTAGATAAGAAACTGAAGAGTATACAATAAGAAGCTACAAACCCATAAAAACGAAGGCAGTCCCTCTGGAGGGAGTGTCCACAGCAGGCAATTCGATTGGCTGTTGTGTGATTTGAAAAGCTAAGTTCCAGAAACTTCCCAAAAGATAATCCGCGTGCTGCATCTGACATGACTATCCTTTGTGTGGCTGGAGGAATTCCATCTTTTGGTTTGCACCTGAGACACCTGTGCCACATCCATACCTTCCCATCAAGCTCCCCAGGTAGCTTGACAGATGGAAGAGTTCTCACACTGATTGTGAGACTGCCTTGTTGATGAGTGTAACATCGCACATGAGATTCTGCAGGCTCCTTGCAAGATTCGCAGCATGAAGTCTGAAAATATAGGGTGGATGAAAATTAATAAGGTACTGTAAAGCCTATAATAGTAAACTAGCAGATTACGGATGACAACGCAACTACCTGAACAAATAAATCTTCACGAAAATACCTTCCAAGTGGCTTATCAAAAGTACCATAGAACTTTATCCGAAATAGCTGAGATTGCTTGCATACAATTCCTCTCAGAGGGCATGCAACTGACAAGGAAACCAAAATGCTCTGTGGACTGTCAGATGTTGGGAAGTATTCGTTGTGATTCCCATTGTGATCACGTATTGCTACAGAATCTTCATCTGAGATATGATTCCAACCATTGTCCAAGTCAAGGAAGTCACTATCAACCTTTGACATTCCACCACCTGCTTCATCTATGTGACCATTATGGGGAAAATATAAATTTCCTGGTGTCCTTTTTCTCACACTGGCAAGTGAACTTTTAGGTGTCTGAACAGTCATGCATACAGGTGGAATACAGCTGCCATACATTGAAGCTTCTGTGGAATAAGGGTATACCTTAATGGTTCCACAAGTATATTCTTCCTGACTTAAGTCAGCTCTTGAATGACAGTGTGCATGTTCCTCGTGAATTATGTCATCTCTTGAATGAGATTGATTTGCAGAACCATTAAGGCAAGGCATGATGCATCCACTTCCAAAAGTTTCCCCTTCAATGGTTTGAAATTCATTCAAATTCTGCTGATAGTATCTTGAGGAAGAATTTTGCTTCTCAAATTGAAGATCTGAGGGGACTTTTGGAAGTGTTGCACCCTCATCAGCAAGATATGAGGTCTCAAGTGACAGGTGGTATGCTGCAAATAAAGCATACTGCACAGCAAGTTTGACTTTCTTTAACTCTTCATATGACTTTCCTCTTAGAAGAACCTAGGAAAAGCATGCCATTTTTATCAGATCTGACGTGATCACAGTATAAATAAAGGCATAACTTTTATCCTATGTGACATAATCACAATATAAAGAAAGGCCTTCAATTTTCCATCAACCAAATAAAATCATATTGTTTGACGTGTAAATGCATGCCATTTTTTTCAGATATATGGCATAATCACAATATAAAGAAAGAGATCCAAAATAGTAAGTTCCAAATATAGTAAAGGATTAAGAGACTATTGAAACAAAGCATTTGCTATTCACCAAAGAAAATCCATTGCAATGCACAATTGCACATAATACCTTCAGGTGTAAAATAATGGACAGAAAAGACAAATGGCAGAAGAATTTAAACTATTTGGGCCAATTAACAGTAATACTGAATAAAAGCTATCTTTGAAATGCAATTAGATAATTTGATTATTACCGTGCACCCCAAGCGTCTTGGACAACCATAAAAAAACATCAGTGTCTTGACTGTTTTTTTGTTTGAGACCTTTGGTGATGAACATTCTGTAACTTTCTCAATCCAGAATGTTTGGCATTGTCCAACTCCAGTAGAAGTGATATTTTCAACAGAAGACGCAATTTGAGCACCTGTGCAGCGAGATATTCTTTCCAGAAGTGATCTCTTGACGTTCAATACTAAAGATATATCTTTTGCAAGAAGCTGTTGCGCATGCAATGGCACACTTTTCTCGACTAGCAAGACATGTGGGCGTTGAGACTCTATCTTTGCAACAGCATTCTTAAGATACTCCTTCTCCTGTACACATTGCATCTGAAATCATTATAAAAAAAAAACCCCCTCGACCGGGGGGGTTAAGACTGCCCCCGCAGCATTTCAAATAAGAAGAAGGACCTTCTCACCCGGCCGAGAAAACCCCCAAACCCCCGCCCCCACCCTTACACGGTGGCTTTCCGTCGCCCAAGTGAGAATTGGGCCGGTGCCCCCCCTCCCGTTGCTTTGGTTATGGGGACGGACGAGGGGATTTTTTTAACCTCAGCCTGAAATTCGCTCCCACGGGGAGTCGAACTCAGGACCTGAGGAGTGCCGCCGGGTCACCTAACCGTTTGAGCTAGGCACCCTTTGGCATTTGAAATCAATATTAAGAACATATTGAGATAAATCAGCATGAACATGTAACTGGAAAATGATGATACCTGTTCAAGAATGCTGTTTATTGAAGCTAGTTTGTTCGTGGCTTTCTGGTATTCCAGTGCTCCTCCCAAAAGAAGCAACCTAGGGTTCTCATGTTTTGACACCATACGTTTATGTTTTACATTCTTAGAACAGACAACACCTTTAATGAAAGCACTGCAAACAATTGAACAATCATTTAGTGCCAAAATACCATGGCGGAAATTTCATGTAATTCTTCAGTACAAGTTGTAGTCAAAGGGCATACCTATCATTTGGATTTCCTGATGCTACGCATTTGACTTTGACATAGTCTGTGGGATCCATGCTACCACCCTTGCTTGTATCTGGCCTGACAAAGGTAGCTGCTTGCCAAGCTAATGAGGCTACTATGTCTGGCCAGCCATCCATGGGATCAATGCCATGTCCTAGGAGCAATTATGACACGAGAGCCTGAAAATGCCCATGTAAAGCACTCCTCAAGAACTCTTTGTGAGATATACTATGTTTTCCTTTGATCCCTAACAAACCATCATCATCATTATCATCATCATCCTCGCCATCGCAATAATCATGGTTAACATGTCCAAAGACCTTCCCATCACAATCATCATTGTCATCGTCCTCATCATATTGAAAAGTACCATTTTCATCCTGAGGTGGTGGAGGATACCAGATGTGTCTACTCTCAAAATCAATTGGTTGCACATCATCTTTCCTCTGTTCATCATCATGCCAAGGTGAATTCATAAAACTAGAATCAACATCATCTGATCCCCGGCATGAATTCCAAGGATAGCTAGGAGAATGGCAACCCCTCCTTGAGGGAGGACTTGTGTCTCCTACTCCCAATTGTTTGATAGGACTATCTAATGGGCTTGAAGTCCCCAACCGGAAGGTATACATCCTACTAATACTTGTGCTCATCGAATCCGTATGAGAAGTGTCTTGAGAAAACTCACTCTGGGGGGAAAAGTACCGATCCAAATCCTCACCCTCTTCACACCCAATGCTCCTGCATCCACTTATTTCATTCAGTGAAAAGTCTATCAACAAGTTATCCCCTCTAAGCCAAACAAGAAAGTCAATTGCTCACCTCGGGGTTGAGCACCGGAGAGGACCAGGCGATGACATGCGCCGCCAAGCAGCCAGCCTCGGCGCAGGCGGCGTACAAACACGCTCTGGTGGGGACACTGGAGGCCCGTTGTCGCCGAGCCCACGCTGCTCCACGGCACCCCCTCGGCCTCCGTTAATAGGCCGAACGCCAAGGCCGCCGCTGTCCGTCATCGCAAGCACAGTCACCCAAGAATCGGACTTCTGCCCGACGGGCACTCCCATAAAAGCCCCAGAACAGCTAAAAAAGGCTACAGGAAAACCCAAGTTGGAAATTCTTGATATCTTTCTAAACTCTACACCAAAGCCACCCAAAAATCACGGGACACAGCCAAACCAAACCGCAAACCTACGATTCGTTAGAGGGGAACTAAAAGGGACCCCGGAAGGCGCCTAATCCTAGCGTTTCTTGGCTCCTGTGCAGACGAGGAATTCCGTCGAGCACGTGGCGAGCGAGAAGGAAACATGCTTCAAACCTCTCCAATCCAGCAGAGATAGGACGAGGCTGGAGGTGGCGAAGGACGAGGAGGGTGAATGGAGCTTGGAGTTGGGGAAGGAGGGGCGGTGCCCATGGGGGAAGGAGGAAGCTTTGTGCGAGGCCGGGAATGGAGGTAGTTATAGAGTAGGGGAAAAGGTGAGCGGGGAGAAGAAGGAAAAAAAAATGTTGGGTGGGTGCTGCGGATTTTGTTATTGTTTACTCCTTCCTTTTAATTCCTTCGTTTCCTTCGTTTCCTTTTTCTTTTCCCTTTTTTATTTTATTATTATTATGTTTTTATTATTGGTCAAATCAAAACCCATGGACAATCGACCGATTAATGGAGGCATGAAATTACACTGATACTCCTATTTATTAGGGCCTCCTTTGTAACGCTAGATTTTTTTTCTATTTCTACGTTTTTTCTGTGAAAAATGAACTTATTTTTGTAAAATTCATATATAATTCCTATAGATTCTTGTGCTCTAAAGAGGGCCTAGAGCAACGCAATGGGATAATACCCACTACTACCTCGTGTTGCATGTAGTGATAGATTTGTTGCCACATGGGGAGAATGAGATGGGGCCAGCCTAATGTCTAAGGGCAAAAACTAAAAGATCTTGAATAATTTCTAAATTCTAAAACATCAAGTTTTCTAAGATGGAGAAGTATCAAGGTAAAAATCAAGGAAAGTTTTTCTATTTATTTATCATTTTTTTCTTCTATATACTCCCTCAGTCTCAAAATGATAAGCATATTTTGTATAGAAAAAAGTCAAATTACACAATTAAATCAATAATTAGTCAAATTATATTCAAAATTAGAACATAAAACTTACATCAATAGATTTGTATTTAAAATTATTCTAGAATGATATTGATTCTTTAGCAAACAACATATTATAATATAAAAATAATACCAAAACTTATTTTGTATGACTTTTTTCTAATCAAAGTACGATTATATATATTCTAGGACAGAGGGTGTATTTATATTAGGTGGTCAATCCATTCGGAACGTGAATGCTGATGTTCTTTCTATTACTAAAATATTGGGTCGAATTGCTTCGGAATGTGTACCTCATGTTATCTCAAATATGAGTTAATTCGGACATGGTTACAATAATATGAGTATATATTATTAAATTTTGATGTGGGAAGAAATGTGGTGTTGGTCAATTCACACTACAAATGACAAAATTTACTGATTATCATTATAAAATTACACTTATTTGTCGTAAGATACCTTATCAATTATTTTATTCATTTATTAGATTTCAAGGAGAGAATGTGGGAGGAAATGTCTTTTGTAGTTTTATGTCCTTGTCTTCAACCCCATCTCCTCATTCCTCATATGCTCCTCCGGCCTCCTCACTCGGTGTTGCCCGCCTCCGATGTGTCCTTGTGCATATTTACAGAGGTGGGCCTTCTAAGAGGTCCGCCTCTAAAAATAGCCTCTATTTTTTGAGACGGATCTCTTAAGAGGCCCGTCTTCGTAAATTCATTTTAGGAGAAGGGCAATTTTTTATCGTCTCCGTAAATCCATTTTAGGATACGAACAATTTGTGACCGTCTTCATAAATAAAACGTCCGTCTCCAAAAATCCTCAGGTATTTTAGGAGATGGTTGGATGTTTGCTACGCGGACTATGTCATTTTACGAGATGAAAGAGACTAAGAGTAGTGTGAGGTGAAAGAGACTAAGAGTAGTGGGTGTGCTCCATGGTACTGCTCAGACTTTGGTTTGTGTAATAGTTTAATAATGGTGTAAGAGACTAAGTGTAATGAGACATTGGTTTGTAAGGACTCCATGCCACTCCTATCACTGCCGATTAACCTCTGCCGGCATGAACTCCGCTAGTGATAGTTGCATCTAACCCGGCGGTGATTATCAATTCTGGCGTAGTATCATAAATCAATTTCCATAATTGTTGTTCCATTTGCCTTCGAAAATCAATTTCTATTAATCAAATTTTAAGGACAGTTAAATAGTCATGCCTACTTGATTCCTAGAGAACCTTGAGTAAGCCTAGGGGCGAAGCTATATATTAGTTAGGGAGTGGAAACATGCTCCCTCAAAAATATAAAACAATGATTTTAACTAAATTTCATTATATATGCACTTCCTAAGTAAATGTCTATACACCAAGACAAGAGTACTCTCCTCTAATTCAATCTAGCTTTACCACTGGTAGAGAAAGGTCGTAAGAAAACGCACAAATGAAATCTGACCGTGATTATAAATACTAGTGTTTTGACGCACCCTCAAAATTATTTGTGCATTGGTGTATCTGGCAACATACCAAACATGCATGTAGGCTACATCACCAATGACTCCCTGGCATCCAGTTCCAGACATAGCAACATCAGCAAAAGGGTGTTTGAGAATATGAAAACTCTTAAACGTCACTTTGAGCCACATGACACACGATCGACATTTATACTCCTTCGAAAGCGACACATTTGATTGGCATCATATCATATCATATCACTTAGAGTGCATATTATTAAAGATGTGCTACCTCTTATTAGAAGAGCTTAGCACCGCAGCAGATGTCTTACCGGTTGCAGGATACCTGCTGAGGTCTTTTTAATCCGTTGGGGCCCTTTCAGGAGGATGGAAAGCAAAATAATGAAAAGGCAAACTAGAAGTTAGAAAATAGTTCAAATGCTAAGTTGAAAACAAGAGGATATGAAGAACATAATAAACTCTAGATCTTTGCAACGAGCAATCTTCGTGTTTTTCCCTTTTTTTTGCAGCAACAATTTGTTAGCACTGAAGATAGAGCCTATATTGCATATCCATGATCTATTCACATCGCGCATGCCACGAGTAGAAGAAAATAATTAAGATTAATTTCTCAAAACCATTATCCCTCTCGGATGTTCTACCATATTGGTCTCTGACTGAATGCAACTATATCTCAAGATTGATCAAATTTTGTTTACAAATATTTATTATACTAAATAAGTATTATTAAATTTACTATGAAATATATGTTCATAACAAAATTGTTTGGAGTCATAAATGTTGATAATATTTTTTGTAAGTCCTGTCAAATTTCAAATAGTTTAAGTAGGGAAAAACTAGAGTTGCATTCTTCGTGGGATGGAGGTCTCATCCATGCTGGACGCTCTCATCCACACCGGCCGCCCCACCTCTATGACGATTACCATGCCCTACCTCCACGTCGACCACCCTCCTCCACGCTGGATTCTCTTTCCTTGATCGCCCACGGGTCTGCCACCACCGCACTGAGCCCTAGGGGCCACGCCATGCTGAGCCCTAGGGTTTCGCCACTGTCATCGCTGTCACGCCACCTCGTTCGAGGTTGCCTCATCCCGATCCCTCCTCCACCGCTGCCGCCTACATTGACATGCTCTACAACTTTGAGTAAGTTCAATTTTATCGTGTACCCTAGCTAATGTGGTTTCTGGAAATGTATTGTGTTTGATACACTATAACTTATGTGTTTTTATGCTTCAATTCTTATAGCAATCATTGGATTTGTGTATTCGTTGATGTCAAGGTAGGCATAGCTTGGGTATTGTATTCACTAGGTAAGGATGAGGAGACATACAAAGACTTCATATGCATTGTCCAGGCCTATATGAACCATCCTCACTAACTTAGATGTGTATATCTAATTGTTATACTGTGTTTTGAATACTAACTTGGTTAAATACTTATGAATGGGGCATATAGGCACTATGTTAATCAACTAAAGGGGGAAGCATAATCCAAAAAGGCTGTCTGAGTTGTATATCAAAACAAAATGGCCCATACATCTCATTATACTTTAATACTTTAACTTAATTGATGCCTTATGTTTATGCCAAAGTACTTGCTATTATGATATGCAAAACACGTTGCATTGAAGCAATGCCACAAAGCAAAGTTTCGGGAGAGTCTACATTGTGAATATTATGTCTACGAGTACATGAGGGTCACTGGAAGGTGCTCGAGATGCCTTGAAAATGTAAGTAATTAGATCATCTCACCATATAAGTTGGGAGCGCACACATGTATATGTTATAAACCACATCATTGTAAATTATGTTTTCTTGTTGTGGCACAATGACCAAGCTATTAAAAATAGAGTACTAGACGATGGAAATCTCCCGAAGATTGTTGGGTCGGGACCTATGATAGTTTATTCTCGAAGAGTATACACAAAAACGATGACTACCATGACCCATCGTGCGCGATAGGATATCAAGTTGATTGCAAGGGGGTCCGTGAGTGGGAAGCTTTAAGCTTAGGTCATTGAAGTCAATGTGCATATGATGTAACATTATTACCATTGATGTTCGCTCTGTTGAATGTATGTACATGTGTATATGTATATATGTTGATGACAATGTACATATGTATATAATGTTATAGATTTTTGGAATTGGTGCATGTGAATACTATATGTGTATGTAGAATTTAAATTTTCAATTTCAATTTTGGCAAAAAAAATTAGAGGCTGTTGGAAATCCCAGTCGCCTCTGCCTCTGGAAAAGCTAGGGTTTTCCGGTCATCTCTGAAAAAATAGATTTCTAGATATGGTTGAACAATCACCTCTAATTGATTTCTAGAGACACATGGGTAGAGATGGACGGAGCAACCACCTCTACAAACTCTTTCTAGCCGTCTCTAAAGATCGTTTCCGTGGTAGTGTCCACCCATCGAACATGATCTACTAAATTTGAAAA